AGCTTGGTGTCATCTGCAAACTTGCTGAGGGTGCACTCAATCCCACTGTCTATGTCATTGATGAAGATATTAAACAGTACCGGTCCCAATACGGACCCCTGCAGGACGTCACTTCAATCCAGTCTCCATCTGGACATTGAGCCGTTCACCACTACCCTCTGGATGCGACCATCTAAGCAATTCCTCACCCACCGGATAGTCCACCCATCAAATCCATACCTCTCCAGTTTAGAGAGAAGGATGTTGTGGGGGACCATGTCAAAGGCCTGACAGAGGTCCAGACAGATGACATCTGTAGCCCTTCCCGTGTCCACTGACGTAGTCACTCCATCATAGAAGGCCACTAGGTTGGTCAGGCAGGACTTGCCCTTGGTGAAGCCATGCTGGCTGTCTGGAATCACCTCCCTGTCCTCCGTGTGCCTTAGCATAGCTTCCGGGAGGATCTGTTCCATGATCTTCCCAGGCACAGAGGTGAGACTGACTGGCCTGTAGTTCCCTGGGTCTTCCTTTTTTCCCTTTTTAAAAATGGGGGTTATGTTTCCCCTTTTCCAGTCAGTGGGAATGTCACTGGACTGCCACGACTTCTCAAATATGATGGATCTATGATTCTATGAATGGGCCTACTCATTCATTTGGAGGTCAGAAGGAATAGCATTTTCTGGAAGAAAGCCAGATTCAAAACAAAGAGGAAACCAAAATTAATCCTTGGATTAGAGGCCAGCCTAAATCTTGATATTTGGACGAGGAATCAGACGATGTCAGCTACACCAAAAGAATCATGAGTATTCAGGGCTCTGGTTTTGCATCTCTGACTGGGTGTAAAACCCTGTGTTCCTTCCAGATCACATGTTGCCATCTGTCTCTGCTTCTCACCAACTCATTTGGCCACATGCAGCTCTTTAGGGCATATGGAGGAATCAGCCAGTAAAGAGGAACATTACCTGAGATTTTCTTTTCCCAGAACTCTTTTTGTCTTTCCTGAAGGTAACCAAATCTGACCTTTCCCCCCTGCCCCCAACATGGCCCTGAGTTTGAACTAAATTCAAGATCAGGCTAGTATGTAGAAGTATATAGTAGTATGTATGTAGAAGTATGCAGCCAACACGCAATTGCAGCTTAAGTAGGTATATGAGGTAACTTTAAGCTATCCAGTGTGGATATGGTTTCACTAGAGTAGCAACAGTCTGAGATTTTTATGTGAGCTAGCTGCCTAAATATTTTACAAAGGTCTGTATGATTCCCCTGCCTCCAGCTTCGGTGCTGAAGCTTACTGTGATTACACTTACTGATAGGTATTTGAGTTTGAGTTAGGCTTTCCTCTGTGCTTATGAAAAGAAAAGGATTAATGTGTATTCTTCCAGCAGCTTAGAGATACTTTTCTAATCTCTCTTGACCTCTGTCATCAAGTCTATTCCCCTTTTATTGTAGCATTCTCCAAGGCAGCAGTCTGAAGCCAAGAAACGTTATCTGAAATGTCCCCCTGTGTTACGTCTATAGGCAGCTTTTAGAAGAGATTGCCTTCCTTTCCCCATTAGGTTGGCATTCTCTGTAGTGGTATCCTCTTTTGTAGTATGACATAGGAAAGCATTGTGACAGAGTTTGATAAAATATTTCTAGTGTGCGCTCCATTAATTTTGACAACTCAGATTTGTTTGTACTTTTTATATGCCAGTGTGAGTATTTCTAGAGATGTCGATATATGTAGAGACAACGTGTGGGTTTTTTTATATGTCAGTATCTTTTATAGAGAACATCTGCTATGAAATTGTTAGAACAGTATGCAATGATACTTATTTAAAATGTGTTCTAGTAGTTACTGTGTACCCAGTTGGTTTAATAAACCAGTAAAACATTTCAAACGTAGTTGAATGTCCTATCCAGTTAATAACATGTACTGTTTTGAATTTTGTCAGTCTTACATGTCACATATTATAATCTTGTGACTTTTTCCTTAAATTTTCGTTGGTAAGACAAACCAATTAGCTTTGGAGTTTTGAATCTTAAAAATTAATAATATAGATAACATAAATGCAAGGCTTAGATGTGTTTTAAAATAGTAAATGGGTTAAAGTAGCACTGGCATACTTAGTACTCTGTTGGCATATCTTTTCCCTTCAGATGGTTGTTTGGAATGTGAAGCCTCTTCCTGTATTTGCTGTAGCAGAGCTAAACTCTAATGTCGCTTATAGGAGAAATTTAATATAAGCAGCTTGTACAGAACTGACCTGCTGCCATGATAGCATGGAATATATTTAGCATGCATGTGTCTAGTAACCATGTGATCTTAGGCAAGTGAATAAAACAGTGAAACTCAAAAGTTATAATTTCTCTGAATGTTTTCAGAGTTCTGTTAATTAAATAAAATGTTAGCAAACTATTTGAAGAGACTCAGTTTGTAACTGAGACGTAACCAACTGCAGAATTTGGAATGTTGCAGCATTGTGTCTGCATATCAGTGTAAGAGAGGACTGAGAATTCAAAAGTAGCTGGATTTTCTTAATCCACCATAATTTTTGGAGTATTTTGTTTGGTTTTTAGGCTGTTATGATTCAGTTTTCTGCTGCCATGATGACTGAAGATTAATTTTTAAATGAAATCTGAAAATAAGTACCTGAGGATCAGATTGCTAATCTTTAAGAAAAGCTACAAATGTAAATTTTGGCAGTGCTGTGATACTGTCAGAATTTCTTGGTCTCATCTGTGCTTAAAAGCTAATGTGTCAGTTACATGCCTTCTGCAGATTTAACAGGTCACCATTTGGGAGATGTTACGCAGGGAAGAGTGGCATATGCAAGTCCTCTATCAAGACAATGTTACAAGGTGGATAATCTCTTTAATGGAATATAATCTCTCTTCCTTAAGCTTGAAGATTCAAGTGGGTTCTGAATGCTTTGGGAGTTCCTTTCTTCTTCAGGTCCAGTGGTCACATGTCATGCCAGTGAGGCTTGGCTAAAAGCAGAGAAATGAAGGGTTCCACCTCCCCCAGCTGTGATTTAGCTTGTACATCTTCAGCTGGTAACTTTTTCCACCTCTTCCTGTTGAGAAGACTATGTAGGCACTTTCTTCCAGATAATGGGTTGTTGGATTTTTTTTTTTGATGGTATTCCTCTACATGCACTGTCGTTATGGACTAGTAAGCTCCTTCAAAGATTGAAGATATTTTCTATCAAATTCTCTAGTTTTGGTAGATACTGCATTTGCAGAAAAATTACAAGGAAGCCCAGCGGATTTTCTTTTGAGTACTAGAAGGACACACATAGTAAAGCAGCATTAAATTGTCTTACACATAATAGAGAACTGAAATTATTCCATAAAGCATAATGATATTGTGCGCTCAGTTATATACCTTAGCATACATACTGTTTCCTAGCCCTGCAGAATATAATTGTGTTGGAAGCTGTGGTTGGTCTTTTTAAGTATTTCAAAATATCAATAATCCTCTTGCCCAAGCTCCTGAATTAATAGCATATGAAAACAACAAAGTCCCTTTAGAGTTCTCATTTTGTTTTGCCATAGCAGCCTGGATCTGAGACACTGCAGAACCACCAGTGAAAACTCAGATCTCTAGCAAAAGCTGCCACTTGTTTGTAGTGAGTTTGTCAGTGCTATTGACAAATATTTATTAACTTCAGTTTCATGATTTAGCTTGCTTTTTCTTCTGGCTTTTCTAAATAAATTTGCATTAAAAGTACCAAGTCTTGTGCTTAATTGATTTTGCTTTCAAAAGGCCAAAGAATACCATATGCATCCTTGAAAGACCTTCCCTTAAGGTGAAATCCTTAAAAGTGAATGAGAACCAGTTTCTTTTTAATGTCAATTTGAGTCTACTAAATTTAAAAAGCCATGTCTGTGTCTTTGTTCTATGCTTCGTGGCATCAAATTGGATAAAATGCCACAGATAAAACTCCCTACAGACAAACTTATTAACTCTTTCTGCTGCTGTCCTCCATCACGCTTTTTCCTCTGCTTTTGGGGACTTCCCTTTCTCTTAATGCCTTTCTTCCAACTGTATGGGGTGAGCATCTTCACTGAAGCGAACTTGGACTCATTCCAAAAAAGAACAAACAGTGAGGCTTGAGAGCTATCTCACCTCTGTATGGGAAGAGTATAGGGAATACTGCCATCCTGTTCAAGAATATTTTGGCTTCAGTTCCGCTTACTGAAAGAATTGGGCAAGGGCAGCCATTTGAATAAAATGAGATTTTGAGTCTAAGGATTCACTAGATAGACTAAGTACTACTTCCTTTCCATGCCCAAAGTGACATCTTGCAAATAATGCAAATGGACTGACTTGACAACATTAAAATGTAAGAACAGAAATCTTAGTTTACTCCATTTAAATCAAAACTCAGTGCATTGCTGCTTTCTAGATGCTGTACACCTAGGCAATAGTCCTGTCTCATGCATGCTTATCTATTACTGAACTGTGCATTTATGGTAGTCTTAGATTTTATGTGGTACTTTTTCTGATGTGGAGTACTAAAGGGTTTGCATTTTTTCGAGTAAGTGATGCATACAAAGGGGAGTGCCTGCCATCTATAAAGGCTTGCTAATGTTGTTAATCAGATATTACTGTCAAAATTAAATATATTCGGTGGTAGACAAAGAGGAAGGAAAATCTGCTAGAAGGAAGAATCTCCACAAGTATTGGTTTACGTAACGTGTTAAGAGTAGTGCCTGCTAGAAGTACAGGGTAAGCTTGTTTTGATTCATATCTTCCTTTTGAAAGCAGGCAAATGTTTATAGTGTAGAGGATGTCTCCACCCCTCCCCCCAGTGAAGCTCTGTGCTGGAGAAAACGATGACACTGTATGTTGATGAATTCTTACAAATCTAAACATAGACCATAACCATAGATTTTTACCCCTGCACAGACACACCTATTGGCTTCAGATGAAATCGTAAGCTGAAATTTGAGAACTAGGTCCGACTCAGTGGTCAACATTTTGGGTTATACTAAGAAGTCTTTGTTTCAAATCTCAGTTTAAAAATGTGTTTAGCTTGGCAGCAGGATGAAATCTGCTAAAAAGCAACTATCAATCTACAGTTTGTCTGAACTGCAGAGTGAATTGCTGGAAAGATACCTTTCTTCCAGTGGGAAGACAGATGGAATTTTGTAGTCTTTGTGCTTTGTTTTGTTTTTAATTTTCTTTCCTTTAAGCAAGCTTGAATGCATTTCCTTACAGCTTCTGTAATCCTGCCTCAAAGTAGAGGATATGAGATGGGAACTGAGAGAAAAGTAGAACTCAAGTCACCAATACAATTTCTTAATTAAAATCCACTTTACTAATTATTTCTTCCATTTCTTATGTGCTGTCATGAGTATCTCGTATTTTGGCATACAGCTTTTCCCGTGTTTGCTGTAAGTTGACTGTTTAGTTTTTGTTAAGCAATGTGTGGCCTCATGCAAAACTTGCAGAGCATCAGTTAGGGGAGAAGGAGCTGAGCTATGTGAGAGCATGAAAGGATGGAACCGGATGCTGGAAGTTTCTTGCACTAGGATTTGTAGCCAGTTTGAGCTTTGTTACTATATATCTGTATGTTGCAATAAGATTTAATAGATAATTGAGGTTTTCAGGGTGATATACGAAAGCAGGTATGTTCAAAGGCACACCGGTCTTATTGAGGGGAAAATATGCTTTTAATACAGGCAAAAGCAGCAGTAATACAGATGAACATATTAGGCCCTAGTTACGCTGTCCCTTCTAGGGTCTGTCTTTGCTGATGCAGGTGAAATTGGAGACTATGAGCACTGGTATCTCTGCTGTTTGCCAGCTAGCTGTCAATATTTATTGCTTCAGCTGCTGCAAGGCTTCCACTCAGCATGTAAAAGAAAGATGGTTTTCATGTCCTGAAGGCCCAGAGTACTTAACAATAACTTTTTTTAAGAGGAGTTAAGATGTCTTGCAGGTGCGAGAATGCTTCTAAGCAGGTTCATGAAAGTTGTGTATAAACTGCATGCCAGTCTGCTGTGGTTCACTTTTTTGTTCATACAATCCATATAATCATGTTCACAGATTATTTACTTAGAATGAATAAAATGATATGCTGTAAAATAATTAAGCAGGCATCTGATTCTAGTATACAGAATCCACTTTTATGAATACATTTAATATGTGAGATTTTTTTTTCTTAGGGAAATAAGTATATAGGGTTTTGCATGAAGACAAAATGCCTTATTGTCATACCAGAAAGGAATGAAAAAGATTGCAGATTCTTCCTCGTGTACTCTAGTGATACTGTTAGAATAAAAAAATTCATTTCTACGTCTAAATAAGTCTGTCACTTCACATGTAGGAATTTAACACTAGCTTTAAGCACTCATTTCTCCAAGCTCAGAGATTGACTGAGGTGTCTGAACTTCCACATTGTACCCTTTCATCTACCAGGGCTACAGGTAGTATCATAATTTTATAGTGGCATGCAACTGCTCTTACCAAAATAAGATACTGCTGTTAACATAATACTAATTCTAATTGCTGTGCAGCAATTAGAACTAATACCTTCAAGGAGGAGTCATTCACATCTGACTGCTACCTATTTGCTTTACAACTGAAATATGGTTCCTAGGTCTCTTAGCTAGGTTTTTGTCAGAGACGGACAAGAAGACAGCATGGATGGAAGGGATCCAGCGGTGTGTGTGAAATGGGCACTGTTTTGTGTAATTTTCCTAGCAGGTTTAAATCATTGCTGCAATAATTAAATGCTGAGATGTCCATTTTGACCATCTAATAATGCAAGAGTCTGAGGCTGATATGCAGTCTTCCCTTCTGAAGTGGTTTCAGGGCTGCTTCTTGGCATTTCTGGCAGTTTCTTTGATAGTGAGGATAATTATTTTTTCCTTTTCCAAAATCAGGATAGTAAGCTGTGTGTGACTCTGTGTGTGTGTATATATATATATTTTTTTTTTTTTAAATTTTTAATGCATAATTGCAGGTCTGGATGGCCAGCTAGATTTATAGTCTCTGATTCCTGACCGATCCTGGTTATTGTCAGGTCTAGGCAGTCATTGCATCAGATAGTACTTGGCTGACTAAGTAGTAAAGACGGAGATGTCTACGTTACAGTTTCAAAAAGCTTGCATTTGCATCTAATGTTTCATGTCAAAGTTAAATGAATATACTTGTTTAAATGGAAGAGGTTTTCGGTAAGGGAAGTCTACAATAATCTGAGCCTGTCTGGGCTTCTGCTTCAGATTCCTGGCTACTTAATGTAATTGAAAATAGGCCAGCTGCTTTTCAAATACATTAAGATCCAGCTTTTGTGATATCTTGCTTTTCTCAATATTCTTTGCTCTTGTTTAACTCTTCAGTGAGGTAATAGTTTATTCATGTAGTAGTTTATCAGAAGGGCTTTGTATATTTACATATGGATCACTTATTTGATTCTTGCTTTGGACCTTGATTAAATTTTTCTCGGCCTTCACTTAAACTTCTATCAGCTGTATCTTCTCATTCAGACCTTTTTAGTGGCTCTATTCATGTAAGATGTTTGTCAGGGTTTGACAGGAAGAGAAATTGAGGTATTTTCAACATTTTGAGGATTTCTGTTTTTAATACAATAATGGGAACAAGTGGGTCAGACTGCTGTCTTTTATAGTCATTGAGTATTTCATTCCAGAAGCTATTGAAACACATATTTTAATACATCTTACTATCCACCACTTGAATCGTTAGCTTTGCTGTGAAGCAGTAAAGTTAGTTAGGGTCAAATGACTTAAGTTTTCTGTTTGTAGCAATCTGCAAGAAAGGTGAAATAATTAGATTTTATCATTTGCTCTGCCTTGCAGGTATGGCAAGCAACAGAGTTACTGTAGCATCA